AGAGATCATGGAGGAATGGTATTTTTTCCAGGGGCTATGTTTTATTTACCTAAATAGTGCTGCACTGCAATAAAACACTGTGCTTGTGAGCTCCAGAGATTGAAGAGACCTGTGAGAGAGGGATTTATAATACCCTCCACCCCAGGAGGATGAAAGAGTTGTGTAGATCTGGATTTCATTACCCTTTGGCTCAAGCTGTGGCCATGGGGGACCAGAGAGGGAAAGCAATTCTGAGGAGAGGGTTTTGAGATGAAATGTCTCTATTTTGTCACAGAGAAAGTGGCAGAGAGAGAATGAACTTGTCTTTCCCAAACCCCTGTGTGGGACCCACATTTCACTGGGGGACTTTGCTCCCAGTGCCCCAAACACAGGCCACAGAAGACAACCTCCAGGCACAGGAAGCCAAGCGGCCAGCATGGGCCTGCAGGTCAGCTTCACCCCATGAGATGCCTCCAGCCAACCTACCTGCTGAGGCACAGGGACATGGACATGTGAAATACAGCTGCAAACTACTGCTACTCTGTGTATTGATCCAGCTGTGCTCCTTTGCTGGTGAAACCCTGGGGGTCACTGCAATGCCCCCCAGACTGAGCCACCCTGTAGAAAGGAAAGGAAATCTTGTCCCCCATCCCCCTTCTGAAACATGCACACTAAAACTAAAATTATACTGATTCCTTGATATGGTTTACCCTAATTTGTGTCATAACTGGAACAGGATCACAAAACACACTTACTTTGTCAGCTGGGGGGAGCTAAGAAATGCAGGTCAGTAGGAGTGGTAATCAGAGGGATCAGGATGGTTTGTGTTCTTACCACAACCTCGGCTCGTTCTGCCTCATTGTAGGTAGATCTGTGCTTCACACATTCATAAATTGCTGAAAAAATTTTTGCCCACAACACTGCAAAGCTGGGGTTAAGCTTATTCATGCAGAATTTCAAAGTACTCAAGGGAAAGAGGACCCATAATCTTAAGCAGCCACACAGCCCTTCCCAAAGCACCAAGCAGCAAGCACAGGGACACAAACACATCAAAAGCTCCAGTGCTGAAGAGCTTGGGGACTACACTGAGGGTTTCAGCTGAAAGGTGACACTTGTCCATGGATCCAGACAGGAGCCCACCTGGGAGCGCTCACCAGGTAACCCTTCCCAAGAGGCACAAAACAAAAAACCTCTCCACCTTCCAGAAAATTAGAGAAAGAACCCGGTAACTTCCTGGCTCGTGTCTTACCCCACAGTTAGGAGCTCAGTCTCATTTACCACTCCTAACCACGGAGGGGTTAAGACGAACCTTGCCCAAAACTTTGCAGCGAGCTGAGCTCACCGACTCCCTCCCCTCCCTCCGCGCCGGGAGCCAACGCAGCCCAGGCAGCACCGTCCTCCCTGCTGAACTGCTGCCTACCGCTGGGCAGGGAGAGGGCTGCTTCCACCCGAGCAGTGAGGCTCCCGAAGAGAAGGTTCCTTGTCCCCCTTCTCCCATCGCCCGCGGAGGAGGGCACCAGCAGTGACGCTGCTCAGTCAGACTGTCAGTTGACATCTCCAGAGCCGGAGGAAGAGCCGTGCCTGCCAGCGAACCGCGCGACTTCAACGGCAAAGGAGAAGAAAGTGCACTCGCCGTGTGTGTTGCTGAACAGACAGTATCCTGACGCCAGCAATCAGACAGCAAATCTCTTCTGCGCGAATCCCACTCCCTGGGAGGACATGTTCCCAGATAAATCATCAGCAAGCTCATGGGCTGCACTGCCTGCTCTGAAAGGTAACTATGCTTTATTCTGTTCTCTTCCTATGCACTACCACAGCTGAGACACTGACACTATCGTGCACTTCAGCATGACAGCAAAACTACCGTCTGCCACTGAAAGCAGAGACCCCCCTCCTTTCCTCTCCCTCAAGTTCTCCCTGGAGAAAATGCAAACCGGGGATGGATTTGATACTTTAACACTTTATTTACACTTCAATGCTGACTTTTCTCTCTAAAGGTCACTTAGGCAGAATACACCTGGTACTGCGTGTGTTCAAACCTTTCTGTGTTTGCCAGCCAGTTCAGTGCAGTCTAACAGCCTTGGAGAAGCTAAAAGTAATTGTTCTGATCTGTTCCACTTGGAGCATTGGGTGGAAAAGCAAAAGAGAACTCAGAATATTGTTTGCACTCTCAGAGATGCTTTGCTGCAAGTGGCACTTCAAGCGAGTATGGGAGTCAAAGGAAGCGAGCAGGCAAGACAAGACATGTTCTGCAGTTGCAGAATACATTTGTACTGTCTGGCTGCACTGTTTTGGGGAAAATCTGACTTTCTCTGCTCCCCTGTACCCTACAAAGGTGCAGAGTAGGGCCATGCAGCCTCCATAAACACTCCCTAAACCTGAAGCTCCCCAAGTCTGATTGCTGTAGCGGGAGCATGGTGATTTGAGTGCCATGAAGGCTTGTGAATTTCCTGTCTCAGTGACACACTCTGAGAAGAAACCTGTTGTTTTGTATGAGTCTTCTATTCTCATTACTGGTTGTTATTACGTGAAGTACATTGGTTTGGGATTTTGTAATCCTTGCTTGGAAACAACCACAAACTGATAAATAAAGAAGTGTCTGCTTGTAATCAATCTGTGCCCACTGAGCATGCTTGGCACATCTCAGAAACTATTATCCAGCCACAGAAGAATTACTAAGCCTTGATCAACAGCTGAGATCACAGGGAATGTGGGCTCTAGTTATGCTGCTGTGCTCTGTTACAAACTTCTACTTACTATCTCTGTCCATGGACTCAAGGGCTTCCCAAGGAAACCAGTGAGGTTTTGCCTCCTGTGATCTAAGTCATGCAAAGTTACAGTGCTGACCTCCTTTATACACAGCTTTTTATAGAATCCTTGTGTACAACTTATTTCCACATGACTTTGGTCTCTACAAGCTTCAAGCTTCTGTTCCTTAAAGGGGAGTGTGCAAAGGTAAATCTACTAATACCCAAACCCATGTGCTCAGTGAGGTAATTTGGTAGATTGAAAAGCAAAAATCTTTGGGGTTTCCTAGAGCTACTGAAGTATTTGCAGCTCATTTCTGGGAAAGATGTTGTTAATTCCACAGCTTTCAATGGTCTGAATGGTTGATTGCTCCTGACAATTCCATAGCTGAGACTACAAAACCAAAAAGCTGTGCCAACTCCCCATTGCTAACACTTGTCACTATTAATCTGCTGCTTTTATCAATAAATGCCCAGCTGAACTTTGTTAATTCAATGTCTTGGTTTGCAGTTCATTACTGAACCTCAGACTAATGTCTTCAGTGTTGTGCAGTCTAATGTTATAAAGTATGTAAAGCCATTAGGCTCCCTGCTCCTTAAGGAGAGAAACGAGCTCTGGCTTTTGCTCTCAGGAAGACAGCAGATGAGATGGGCAAAGACACTGCTCTGTACTTGAACCCACAAAAGTGTCAAATTCCAGACTGATTGCATTTCATTATCAACAGAGAAATCATATTGTAGAAACAGAGGTTTAATATGGCAAATAACTTTCTCACCCTCTATTTCCCACCTGATGTGTAACCTAAGAATATTTTTCATAGGGGAAGAATTCCCATTTATAGGTTCAAAGTGTGAAAATCACAGTTACTGCCCTAAAATTGAGAGCAAAAGTGCCTGGCTGCAACACAACCTTCACTTTCATGTCTCACACTTCTGCATCAGCACCAAACCTGCTGCCAGTATAACTAACTGGCGCCAAAGGGGTTGGGTCATCCCCTGGAAAAGTACTGAGCAGCCGTTTTCATTCCATGCTTGCCCACATCTTCCTGCACAAAGCATAGCGCAGACTCCACTACCCACCCAGGGACTGCAGAAGTCAAGTTTTTCCATCAGCAGTTTGGCCCAGTTTAGACAGCCTTTTACTAAGCAGGATCTGTCCCAATAGTCCCTAAATTGCATCACTGTTATCTCAAATACTTTGCTACTGAAGAAGGTGTTGCAGGAGTTGGGAGGTAAGGTGTAGATGATCCCCAGTGTCCCTTCTTCAACAACTCAGCATATCAGATGTTTCCTATCACGTGAGCCAAAATAGGGCTGTCTTGCTTGTAATGAAAACCTGGATATCAGCCCCTTGATGACTCAGGCCTCCAGATTTCAAGCAGCTCTCTCTGAAGAACAGCAAGGTGTTGTTCCCACTGGTGCATGGGGAGAACACAACCAAACATTGTCAATAAACAGCTACATTTTACAAGCTGAAGCCTCATGAAAGTCATGATTTTTTGCAGCAGAATGTCTTTTACATGAAATTTTTATCTAAAAGCATCAGAACTCTTATCATTTTGACCTAATGCTTTGTTTTAATCTGACTACCATAGTATATTACCATATTACTATTACTACATTCACATCTCATGTAGGCGTATATGTAGTGAGCACTACAAATGACTGCATCACTTTGTTTCAGTGTTACCATTTTGTTTCAGCTAAAACCAAAAAAGCAGAACATGATGCTTTTGGATGCACCATTTGCAGTGAAATTTTGGCATTTACACTTTCTGTTTCCAGCCAGAAGAATTAAAAATGCTAAACCGTTAAGATTTCTCCCATTTCTAGGAAGCTCTGTTCCCAAGCAGTAAGTGGAGCATCACATCCTGTGACAGAGTTGCCCCAGCAGAACAGGTAAGAGTTCTGGATGCCTGTCTGGGGCACCCTGCCTCAGAAACAGAGGGTCCTGGTAAATAATGAATAAGACACACATGGTGGAAGACACTGGCTGGATTCGTATCTCCCCTTCCTCTGTGACATCTAATTCCACAGAATGTGGGGCCTTCTCCTACCCATTAAGTAGTGAGTGCTAGTAAAGAAGAGACCTTAACAATTAGATTTGCATGGTCTTTCTTTAAAATTAAATACTCAGTGCTCCTCCTGATCATAAGGTTTCTCACAGGAGCAGGTGAGGGTTTTCTTATTTGTTCAGGAGATACAACATATAGGCTTTGCTATTTCGATACCTGGTTTCATTTCTCTCTCTCTCATTTTTTCCCTTTTAGAAAGTCAACTTTTTGTGTGTTCCTAATGAGAAACTCAAAACTCCATGCTCTTTAAGCATGTATCAATAGCTCTGGATTAGGAAAGAAGAGATTCCCCCCAGCAGTCTGGCAAAGCAGAGAACAACCTTCCCCAGCTCACGCAAGGACAACCTACATGCTGTGGGAGAAGCTGGCAGAAAGCTGACTGGAAAACAGCACCTGCAAAGACCAGAGCTGTGCAAACCTTTGTAGTTCAGTTTGAGAGAAGGACTAAAGCTCTTCACCTACCAAAGGAGGTGGCCTACGAAAAGAAGGACCAAAGCATTTTCAGGACAAAATAAAAGCCAGATATAAAACACAAGTCTTAATGCTTGTTGTTGTTGTTGTAAATGGCAAAATGAGTTGCAAAGGCCTATCTCATGCAATCTGCTTAACTGTGTGAACCAGCAGTCTTGAGATGAAGAGGATGGAGCAGTTCTTGCTGAAGCCATTGTGTATCCTAAGTTTCCTCTCTTGACCTACTTGGTGAGTCTGGTGAGAGAAGACAGCAGACCTGAAAGTAAATGGTGAAAATGGACCAAAGGTGACAGAGAGCAATGACTGAGCTTTATTTCAAATTCCGTGGAAACCTGACGGGCCGCGTCCACTTTCCAACTCTGGCTACAGAAGCAGACACAAGAGCAGATAAATATTCCAGCCTCTACATGTACGTGGGATTGTTCCTAACACTTCTGGCTATACTTCTCATATTGCTTTTCTCCATGCTCTTGCGCCTGAAGCATGTTATTGCCCCAATCACCACGTCTCCAGAGAGCACTGAGAATACAGTCCAGCAGTTCACAGATGTGGAAATGCACAGCAGGATTCCTACCACTTAGAGACCCCAAAGCAAAAAGGCCTGTGTGCTTGTGAAACATGTTTTGTTCTGCAAAATGGTTGTGGAAAGAATCTCTGCCTGTCTGTTGAGCCCTGGAACTTACTGCACAACCATCAACAGCAGCACAGAGCATCTGGAGAGTGTCAGGCAGCTCAGACTGACTGGCTGGGGCCCACTGGCTGTTGACACTACATACAATGTGTGCGCAACAGCCTCAGTAAAACTGACATTACAGAAACCTGCTGTTAGGAAAGCCTCCTATCCCTCCAAAAGGCCTTGCAGAAAATGGTAAAAGCCACAACGACAGCCAAAAACCCAAAGAAACATGTACCAGAATGTGTTCTGGAGCCTGGATTCCAGAGCCTGGATTCCAGAGCCTGTTCTGGAGCCTGATTTATCTCTCTGCCCTTAAATTCCTTGTGAAGAGTTGAATCAAGAAAGTGAAGTGGCGTAAGCAGGAAAAGCCCATGGGACATGTACAGAAATTATCAGTGGTTTGGAATTCTCAGGAATTTATCCCATTCAAGAAGGAAAACCATAAACTGCTTTTTTCCTACTTGATTGGCAGATTTACACAGCAGAGTTTCAGAAGTATACAAATGTGTCATCACCTGCTGGAAGTATTGGTTCCTGACATTAACAACCACACAGGGAAGAGTTGCATTCCAGATATCAGAAAGAGATGGAACTTTTAAAAGAGGAAAGAAAATAAAAATAAAATTGAACAAAGGTTGAAAATCAAAAGAAAGCATCAGCAGGAAATGAGCAGCAGGAGAAAAAAAGACATTCTACCTCTCTCTGCCTTTGTTCTCCATTAGATAACTGAGGTGAATACAATCATGTTCATGCCATTTAGCCTCCCAAGTATCACTCAGTAATTAAAATGCAGTGTGAAGTGTGAGTCAAATGGACATCATTCTCCTAAACAGACCCAAATTCATAATCCCATTTCCTCTCGTACTCATGTAGGGTTTTCTTCCTCAAAAGACAGACCAGTTCTGCCAAAGCTTTTTCACTTTTCATTTGTTTTCCTCCAAAGAAAGTTGAAGAAACGCCAGGGCCTGGCACTGCAATAATGAATAGTGTGAACAGCTTTGGACATAGACTAATGGGGAACACACAGATGGAAAGTTAACTCACTGAGCACTAAAAGATAGCACTGGATTCAAATATCCTGGCAGATCATTTGGAACAGTGAGGAAAAAAAATGTTTCCTTACATTTGTGAAATGATAATCTGACCCAATCCTCTCACCTCTGACTGATGCACAGAGACAGACTTTGTTTCTGTGGATGGGAAAGATGGAATCAAATACAGCACGTTACTGCTGGGAAAGTCACTGCCTCTTACAGACAAACCTTGAGCAACATTGTTTGAGCTACGTCTTTACAAGGCATGAATTTTACCCATCTTCTCTTCTTTATTTCAGTCTCATTCTGGCTTAGCTATACAAGCCCTATGTGCTTTCCACATTTATATACACTTATTTGCCAATTCTTCTTTCTCCAAGGGCTTGGGAAGTATAAAATCTCCACACAAAACCAATGCTAAAATTAGAGAAGACACGGATTCCATGGACTTGTATTAGTAACAAGAAACTGCTTCTCAAATGCTTTGTGTACAACAGGTTCGTTATTTACCTTTAAAAGTCTGTATATGGGTGAGCTGTTTGGTTTGGCTTTTATAGCTGATTGTGTTTGTGTGGAGAACAGAATGATAAGTAACATCCATACTGGATACAGTTGGTCCACAGGCAGGACTAGTATTTTCTCAGTGATACATTTAGTACAAAACTTTAAAAATTGCTTCCTTATTTAGAATAGCACCTTTTATACTCCATTAACCACACATAAGCAGGTTTAATCTGTGAAACAGCACAATGACTGCAATGCTCCAGGCTTGGGGAAGAGCAGCTGGAAAGCTGCTCATGGAAAAGGACCTGGGGGTGCTGGCTGATGGAGCTGAACATGAGCAGCTTGTGCCCAGGCAGCCAAGAAGGCAAACAGCATCTTGGCCTGCATCAGCACCAGTGTGGCAGCATGGCCAAGGCAGTGATGGAGGCTGCACCTCAAATCCTGTGTCAGTTCTGGGCCCCCCACTACTAGAGAGACATTGAGGTGCTGGAGTGGGGCCAGAGAAGGGCAACAGACCTGGGGAAGGGCCTGGAGCACAACTGTGATGGCGAACAGCTGAGGGACCTGAGGGGGCTTGGTATGGACAAAAGAAGGCTCAGGGGGGACTTTATCGCTCTCTACAGCTACCTGAAAGGAGGATGGAGCAAGGTGGGGGTCAATCTCTGCTCCCAAGTGGTAGGACAAGAGGAAACAGCCTTAAGCTGAGCCAAGGGAGGTTTAGACTGATACTAGGAAAAAGTTCTTCACCAAGAGGGCAATTAGGCATTAGAACATGGAGCAGTGGTGGAGTCACCACCCCTGGAAGTATTCACAAGCTGTGTAGACAAGGCCCTCAGTGACATGGTTTAGTGGTGGTCTTCCCACTGCTGGAGAACAGTTGGACTTGATGATCTTAAAGGTCTTTTCCAACCTAACTGATTCTGTGATTCTATGATTCTAAGGGAATACAGCAAACACACTCTCAGCAATATCCACATGCCATGCTTGCCTGTGTTTACCTGGAAAAGAAGGCAGGAGGCAGGTTGCCCTTGAGCTTTCTGCCACAGGGATAATACACAGGTATCACTAGGCAGGATGGCGGCTTCACACCCCATCTAAAGATTGGATCCTCAGGGAGCGCTACTCTCAGTACTGCACAAGAGCACAAATTCTGTGTGATAATTTGGATATTAATCCAACTAAGACAGACAGCTGCTTAGTTAATGACATTTAAATGTAACAAAAATCTATGCAGATCAAGTTGGCTTGGTATTTGTCACTCATTCAGCCATCAGGAAGCAGACTAGCCCAAGACATTTCTCTTGTCCTGTACAACTGCTTAATTTTTCTGATGTGGCATTCAAAAGCTACAATTTAGAACATAAATGTTCTAACATATTAAATCAGCAACTAAACCACATGAGCCAGCACAACTATCACTGGAAAAACCTTATTTCCAAGAAGCTGCAGGACAGATTCAAATATTGACATAAACATCAGCCCTACTAATGGGAAATGATAGTATCAGAATTTAAGTTGGGACCCAAATTCTGCTTGCTCTGACCTCAGCTGAAAAGCCGCCAGAGGCAGATGTCAAGACTCTGTTTCTTTCCTTCATACTAAAGAACGTTAACTCAGAAGAGTCTCACAGCCCTTTAAAACTTATTCAATAAATATACTGCAAATAAAAATGTAACCACTTTGTATATGATTACATTTTATCACATGGTATCTTTGAGCAGACTGTGTATTTCTATGTAATACTGCTAAGGAAGGCAGCCCTATCAACACAAGTTTTCCTTTCTAAAGCTTCATTTCACACAAAGTATCTGTCCCACTTGATATATCAACAATCCCAGAGGCACTCAGAGTGCCTCACCTGATTGTACAATGCCGCCAAATTTTAAAGCCTTTCCCATTGAGAAATAAAAGAATGTCTTTTCCCCCTTTTCATTCTCATTTGTAATGTCCAAGACCTGACATCACCAAGAAAAGAGGCTGCTGGATGCATTGATCTGTGTTTGCTGAGTGGGACTTCGTGGACTTTCGCATTCTTTAGCTATACGGAGTGGCTACTGGAACTTCTGCATGGATTTGCTGGATCTTGGAGAACTGCAGGTTCCATACCCTTCCCCTCCAGGAGTCTGTTTCCTTCTCACTTGTCCATCTGCTACAGAAAATTGGGGGTGCTTACAAAATAAAGAGACATAGTACTATCAATGGTCACTGCTCTGTGCCATTCCCATGTGTGGATCTGAGGGACTAGCTCATATGCAGAAATAGGCTCAAGCAGTGCCACTCATTTCAGATTAATTGTTGGCTTTAGGGGGCATCTGTGTAAAGTATCACTTGAAACGAGACAGTTTGATCCCAGCTTTACTTCTGTCTTAGACACTGGAAGCAAATACGACTATTTAGTGAATTCCTCACCTTCTCTATTCAGCCACAGGGATGCACTGCCAGCAGAAGACTCTGGGATGCAGACAGACTATGGGACTATTCAACAAGCAGTTCTTTTCACTGAGTTCAGATGCAGCAAATGCAGTTGAGCTATACCCAGTTTATCTTTGTGCATGTCCCGTTGCTTCTCCTTCCATTTACCTTTGCATATCACTGTGTGAACCACTTACACAGGAAACTGATAGGAAGAAATTATCTAAATAAAATCTTTACATTCTTAAAGTCACATTCCCTTTGATGTAATTTAAAGGTAAAAATGAGGAGAAGCCAACCACCTTTCCTGACTTGTTATCACATGGTTTGACTTCAATGTTGCTGATGCAGGAAGCCTGTGAGGTTTTGTCTCATTTCTGCAGATTTTGTCTTTGTGGGTGTATAAATTCTCTCAATTGTTTCCCACAAGGAAAGACAAACACTGCAAACAAACGTCTCCATGGCCAGGAAGCAGTGAGAGCTGCTGTCTGTCCCTCAGGTGATTAGATGCAGCTATTTCCACTTCCCAAGGCATCATCTTGCAGCAGTAATCGTCATTTGTTTTCATTTTTCTTAGTAGACCCATCTGTAAATAAATGTGACCTGCACTTCTCCTCTGGGGAAAGCTGTTTCTGCCTTCTTGTGAGTCTGAAAGATCTTTCATTCAGTGTTATGAAGGATGTGAGACCATTCCATTGAATGAAAATAGGAGTTTGAACTCAATTTCACCAGACAGCTGGGGAAGGCACCGTTTAGGCCATTCCAGTGTGTACCTGTGGTTATCTCATCCTGGAGTGACCATAGACTATTCTTTGTCATGCTCATCTACAACCATCCTCTGCTGTGCTGAAGAAGCCCTGCAGCTCTTCTCTCTGCTTTTTTTGCCATTCTGCAGTCTTTTGAACAACCCCCAATAGAGCACTGCAGCTTAATGAACTATTTCAGATTTGCAGAAATCCAATCAAATTGATGTTGGAACTTGGTCTGAAGAATAGGACTGGGAGTGAGGAAATCAGAGGGTTTCCCCTTTTCCATCACAGGCAACCCAGTTTATGATATAACATGCTTGGTGACAGGAACTACAATACACAAAGCTAACTGCATGCCTAAGAAGTCTGGGTAGCCACATTAGTTTGGAGTGTCTCAGAATTTAGGAGTATCATAGAACTTGTTTTCAGCCCTTTTCTCCCAAAGTCTCTCTAGTCCAACATTATTACTTGAGTATATGTCAAGAAATCTATCAACTCTCCATTGACAGTAACGCTTTGAGGCATAGGACCATCACGCTATTTATTTAGTACAAG